TTTCTGTTTAAATCTGTAGTAAACTCATTTCAGGGTGTTGGTGAGTTGGTTGTCTTTCCTTCTCACCTTCTAACTAGTGATCTCTTCGAGGCCTTTCCAGACTGATGTTGTGTTCTTAGCAGCACTGTGACTTTTAAGAGTGTTTCTTCTTTGCTGCTTTAAACCCTTTCTCCAGCTTGTGTTTGGCCTCCTTGTAGAGAATTATGTCCCACTCCTGAATACTGCCTCCTTTTCCCTGCCTCAGTTCAGCTGAAAACCAAGGTTGTTGCTGTATTTCACCTAAGCTGTAGTTGAAATGCAACTGTTCTTGCAGATACTAATGTACGACAATACAGTGTCTGTGTTTTCATCTTGACTGTCTGTTTTTTTTTTTCAAAAATAGTCCAGTTTGTTGATTCAAAGCAACCTTGTGGCTTCACAGTGTCTTCACTGGTCCACATCCTTACTGTTGTGATGACAGGCTTGTTGACTTTGAGTTTCTGCGTGTATGTGGGGATGAGGTGAACAAGACTGTTGTTACGTTGCGGTACGATTTTCAGTAGTGGTGTAATAATGGTCCAAAATGTTCTCTTCTCTCATGGCATAACTGTTGTCTGTACTTGGGCACTTATTTTGTTTGATTTGCACTGTAAAAGTCTTCCTTAATGATAAGCAGTTAACAAAAACAAGCACAAAACCTACAAGCATCTCACCCTCAACTGCTATGAATTATTGTGGAATGTTTCAAAACAGTGTAACTTGAACATTCTATAAACTTTTCACTCTTATTTTTCTCCGGGCTCTACTTTTTTTAAAGGGGGGTGTTACAGGCATCAGATTCAAAATTTGTTTATATTCATAAAATACAATCAAGTTGGCCAGCCAAAACATTAAAAGTCACTTCTTTGTACTTTTGTCAGTAAATAATGATTCAAAAGAATTAACAAATCACAGATTCTTGTTTTTATTGCATTTTACAAAATTTCCCAACTTTTCAAAAATGTGGTTTCAGTGTTATTTAATCACCAATCACCAAAATGCTATGCCAGTAAGGCTATGCCCCAGGTTTTGTGGAGGAAAGCACTTAAAGATGGTAATGTTTAGATGAGGGTTGCTGGTTAGTGGCTCCTAGATTAAGAGCTAAAGTGGGTGATTGGGGGCTTTTCAACAGCGTGAAAACAGAGCCGTTCAGGATGGCCTGGCCATAGAAACTGTCCTAAAAGCTGATGGTTCTTATTCTCACTCCCACTCCAGACAGCATGAGTGTGAAGAGAGTGTGAGTTTTCCTGCAGAAGTTTATGATTTATGACCTCTTGTGGTAAGAGGGCCTCATCATTCTTGCCTAATCTAGAACAGTGAATTGTTCCAAAAAAATATGGAGTGCCAGAGTTCTCTGTGGGGGAGGGGTTTGGCTGGATGATTGTTCCTGTCTAGCTCTTGTGGCCAAACGCTGTAAATCCTGCATGGTGCCAAAAAGCATGTATTTCCATAGACTTTCATTCAAAATGACCTTTTAAAAATGGGGTGGTGGGACTTCTGTCATGGTCCCCAGCTTTTGCTGCGGAAAGAAAAGACCCCATGAGGCAAAGATGGCAGCACATACTTCTAGGTGTAAATGCACCACTGAGAAAATCCCGCTGAAAAAAATGTACATTCATCTTTCTCCTGCTCCCTTTTCTCCCACTCTCGGTTTTAGTGGTCTAAATGATGATAAGAAACATTCTTAGAATGTGAAATTTGTTAGTTATTGTTATTAAAGACTCAATGATACTTCAGATGCTTTCAAATATTGAAATAGAGGTGTTTTCTTTTCCTGTGTCACATGTTCTTATATATTCTGTGCCTGCAACAGTGATGTGAACCACTTTTCATCTGGCCAGTTGTTGGACTACTTGTACGAACTATTAGCCAATCCTAGCACAGGTGGTGGGGTTTTCAGAATATGGGTGGGGTATAAAAACACCCTCAAGTGCTGCTGTGATCATGTGGTTCCAGTGTGAAGCCCCTCACCAGTATTGTCAGCAAGAGAGACAGGAGCTGCACTACTGAAGGTAAAGATCTTTTCAAATAGTTTACATTGTGCTTTTAATTAACATTAAAATAAATGGTTGGAGAGATGTTCACTCTTTGAAAAGTAGACTTTAAAAACATTGTCTAAACTTGTACTGTTTGCCGTTGTGCTTGTGATTTGATGTTAACTGACATTTTTTGTGGGGTTTGAAGGTTTGTTTGATTCTTTATTTAAGATTCACACTATATATCCTGAAAAAAATACATTTTGGTCAGTAGTGTTATTTATGGAGATTAATAATGCTGTTTTGATTTCAAGCAAACTTTGCCAGGTTGATCCCAAAGGCAGAGGTGTATCCTATGTGCTTCTTTTCATTTCATAAACCAACATGAAAACAGTGTGCACAAAGATATATGCATAGAGTCATCTATAATTAGCTATATTGCATGTGCAGGTATAAACAATGCAGCAGTATGAACAGAGACACAGATATAATCCAGTGTACCTAAACTGTGCAGCATGTGGGGAAAATAGCTAGTTTTAGAAAAAGATGGAGTACTCTATGAAAGGTGGTAATTGTCTACGGTGAGTCATTTGTGGGCATTTAAGAGAGTGATAAAAGAACCTTTTCAAGGGAGCTTGATGGCCTGGTGGTAGAAACTGTCTTGAAGTCGATGATCTCGGTCATTCTCCAGACAGCATGAGTGTGAGCAGACTGTGACAGGGGTAGATCTAGTAGGTGAGTTTTCCTGCAGAATTGTGGAGTATTATTGCCACTGATAGGACAGCAGTAGTCCATTGTGTACAACTGTTCATTAAATCATTGGTTACTTAGTTTTGCTGTTTGAGAAAATAACAGTTTATTGACTTCAAAATATTATTATTCTTGTTACTATCCATCTGCTTCTGGTCTCTATTCATTATTTACTGTCATTTATAGAGATCTTCTCAGGTTCAGTGGTATGTGAGGATAAAGTGCCGGTAGTATTTTTAAAAGGAAAGTGATCTTGATTCTGTGGCATTTGTGTTCATCTATTTCTAATCACAACCTTCCATATGTTAGAATTAGAATCACTTTATTTCACCAAACATATTACACATACATGGTGCACGCATGTATGACACGTAACATGCTAAACAGCTAAATAGCTTTTTTCAGACTGGGTTCAGGACTCCTTACAGCACTGAGACTGCATTAATATATATATATATGTTACAATTAGGAGATATAATCTGCAACATGGAATGTATTGTCAATTTTATGCAGAGAGAATTATATTTGTTTGTTAAGGCAGAGGAACTATGATCTCACAATGATCACCTACTGTGATCATATCTAAACTTAAGATTTACTCACTGAGTTCGTTTATGTGCACTTAATAAATCCAATAAAATATAGACGTGACGGAAACATCACATAAAACGCAAACTTCATGCCTTGGCATTTTTTTTAAAACAATGTGCCTCTTTAACTGAAAATGTGAACATACAATATCTAGAACAGGGGTCTTTAATTAATATTCATTTAATTAAAAGGTCCATTTAAAGACAATTTCCTCAAGCAAAGGTCCGGAACATCATAATGTCTAACTTGCGTTATGATTCAGTGCCATATACTGTAAACTGAAAGTACAATTCAGTAATATTTCAGCAACATTGTCTGTTTCCTTTTTTTAGAGCACACCATGTAAAATAATCACTCATTTGAGTCTCAGTGCTCATCGTAATGCACAGATCTGATTGGCTGAGTAGCGTCACATGTGATATTTTGAACGCATGCAATTGGTCTGTGAGTTTCCTGGGCTGCTAAACCGGTATCGTAATGACTAGAAATGATATGCCGATTCAAATAGGACCACCCGTCGAAATTAAATAATTCTTCAGAGAACGTAGTTGGTTTCAGCGCTGCTCCACATGTTTTGCTGCCATCTTACGGCAACGCTGCTTATTTCCGGTGCCACGGTCTGTTTTGCACATGCGACTGAGAAATCTGAAAGAAATCAGAGTAAGGTTATACATGCACTAAGAAATCTGATTACCGAGCTAAAATTCTGCTGTCCTTATCAGATATGTAAATCGGATTTCTAAACGTTACTCCGATCTAACAAATGCTTTTTACATGATTATTTAGTAATGGCCATGACTAATCAGACAAATGCAGAAATATGATTATGATTGGATTATTAAGTGCATGTAAACACGCTTGTTGACTGTAAGAATATCTGAAATTTTAATTGATGGTTATTCTGTTGCCTTAAGGACTGTTACAGAACTCGGCATCAAAACTGACTCTGAATAATCATTTACTTAATAAAGGTATAACGTCTAATTTTAAAGTACAAACTATTAAAGTACAAAGCTGTTGAGACATTAGATTGTCTTTATTACTTCAAATAATTTTAAAAAGCTGGAGCACCAGAATTATGAAATACTTTACTAATCTTCAAGATTCAGTTACTGTAGTAATTTATAAATCTAGGTTAAACTGTTTTATGGTTGAATCTTAATGAAGACACATTTCCTATAATTAGAGGTCATCTTTGTCTGTAAAACTACCTTGTAACCCCAGCAACGGATACAACCTTTTCCCACTTGACTACTTTAAACTGTGTATTTATTATGTTTTATTTAAAGCCTAAAAAAACCTTTAACATCTAAAATTTTTACAGTCAAAAAAGTATTAATATATATATATATATATATATGTATATATATATATATATATATATATTCCTTTTCTCCTGCAGAAAGAATAACATCCTTTTTCAAGTCGTCTCCTGCTTCTAGTATAAACCTTCACGAACACATGAGGAGCTGCTAGAGGAACACTTCTGAAATCCAGACAGACTTAGTAGGCATCCACAAGAAGCTCTGGTACCCAGCAAATATCACCCAACACTCTCCAGACTAACATATCTCATAGAAAAATGCAAAAAAATACCAGCAAAGAGGGGAATCACCACTGTTCTGAGTGTGGAACGAGTTTTGCTACCAGAACTAGACTCCAAAGACACCAGCGCATTCACACAGGAGAGAAACCGTATCACTGCTCTGAGTGTGGAAAGAGTTTTAGTCTGCGTTCTACCCTTCAGACACACAAGCGCATTCACACAGGAGAGAAACCGTTCCAGTGTTCGGAGTGTGGGAAATGCTTTACTACACAGAGTTGTCTCCGAGGGCACAGACGCATTCACACAGGAGAGAAACCGTATCACTGCTCAGAATGCGGGGCGAGTTTTAATCAGAAGAGTCATCTGAAATCACATCAGCGCATTCACACAGGAGAGAAACCGTATCACTGCTCAGAATGCGGGACGAGTTTTAATCGGAAACATCATCTGAAATCACATCAGCGCATTCACACAGGAGAGAAACCGTATCACTGTTCAGAGTGTGGAAAAAGTTTCACTGAGGGACGTCTTCTTCAAACACATCAGCGCATTCACACAGGAGAGAAACCGTACCAGTGCTCAGAGTGTGGGAAATGCTTTAAGGCACTGCCTCAGCTCCGTGTGCACCAGCGCATTCACACAGGAGAGAAACCGTACCAGTGCTCAGAGTGTGGGAAATGCTTTACGGCACTGCCTCAGTTCCGTGTGCACCAGCGCATTCACACAGGAGAGAAACCGTACCAGTGCTCAGAGTGTGGGAAATGCTTTACGGCACTGTCTCAGTTCCGTGTGCACCAGCGCATTCATACAGGAGAGAAACCGTATTACTGTTCAGAATGTGGCAAGACTTTCACTGTGCTTCACAGTCTCCAATATCACCAGCGTACTCACACAGGAAAGAAAGCTGGACGGGGGTAGACGGGGTCAGACATCTACACCATACTTCAACCTCCTTAAACCCCACAGAAGCAGATAAACCAGCAAACATCCATAGATTTTCCCCGTTGTTGTTCTGTTTTGGGTGTGCACCCCCAGTCAAATGACAGTTTTTGTTGTAATTTGAAGTGAAAATAAGTTAACACATCCTCTGCTGAGAACACACTTAAATATGCTTTTTAAATTGGACAACATATTCTATTCTTGTTTAATATCTTTGGAGTTAAAGATATGCCATTGCCTTTGCACAGCACCACATTTTCTTTCCACCCAATATGTTAATTTCAGCAAATAAACAGTAATTGGGCATTTAAATGTGCAGAAGTGTGTTCACTGTCTCCAAAAACACTACCGTACACACACAGGAGAGACAGCTGGACAGGGTAGACAGACTCAGACATCTATGCTGTACTTCAACCTCCTTAAACCTCACAGAAGCAGATAAACCAGCAAGGCCAGAAGTGCTAGCAGGTTCTCTTCCTGCAGGATGAGGGTTTTGAATGAATCTGTCAGGACAGTTTGCTGTTGTGTTTGTTACAAAAGTATTCTTAGATTACATTTTGATAGATTTTATTGCTTTACAATATTACTAATTAATGTAATATATATCAAAATATTAGGTTCCGTGCTGTTCCCTTTGGCGTTCAGTCTAAAACGGCAGCAGCACTACTGCAGCACCATCTAACGGGAGTTGTCAAAAAAGCAAAAAAGTATGGCTTCTATGCTCTTCTTTAACTGACACATGTGGATTAAATTGAGTCAGAGTTAAAAATTATAAAACACCTCTCTCTGTGTCTTTGCTTCCCCTTCAGGGAGTTAGATCAGCTGTCTGTCTTTTGTTTATTCTTTTGATTTGCTTAAGGCTCGTATGTATCTTGAAGTTAGTGTGTGTTCTGTTTGTTGTTTTGGCCAAACCTGAAGACAAACTGCTGATTAAAAGGTACAGCTGTATAATACATTGTGAATTTGCCATTTGCTATGTTTGGTCTTATTATTATACACTACACACACAATCACAAAGCATATATTTCTCACTTACAGCACTGAGACTGCATTAATATATATGTTACCATTGGGAGATAAAATCTGCAACATGGAATGCATTGTCAATATTATGCAGATAAAACACAATTATATTTGTTTGATAAGGCAGAGGAACTATGCACTCGCAACGATCACCTACTGTGATCATATCTAAACTTAAGTTTTACTCACTGAGTGTGTTTACATGCGCTTAATAAATCCAATAAAATATAGATGTCACAAAAATGTCAGGTAAAACTCAAACTTAATGCCGTGGCTTTTTTTAAAACAATGCGCCTCTTTACCTGAAAATGTGATCATATAACATCTACAAGATATTCAAATCCTTCCTTTCATAAACCGTGTGGTTGGTTTCAGGGCTGCTTCACAGTGTTTTGCACATGTGCAGATATTCTGAAAGAAATCAGAGTAAGGGTATACATGCACTAAGAAATCTGATTACTGAGCTAAAATCCAGCTCTCTTTATCAGATTTGTTAATTGGATTTCTAAAAGCTATTCCGATCTAAGAAATGCTTTTTACATGACTATTTAGTAATGACCATGACTAATCAGACAACTGCAGAAATATGGTTATGATCGGATTATTAAGTGCATGTAAACACGCTCGTTGACTGTAAGAATATCTGAAATTTTACTTGGTTATTCTGTTGCCTTAAGAACTGTTACAACTCCTTATTTTAAAGTACAAACTATTGCCAAGTTTGGAAAAACATTAACCATAAAAGCTGTTAAGACATTAGTATGTTTTATTATTTCAAATAATTTTAAAAAGCTGGAGCACCAGAATTATGAAATACTTTAGTGACTAATCTTCAAGACTCAGTGTAGTAATTTATAAATCTAGGTTAAACTGTTTTATAATTGAGTTTTAAGACACAGTGTGAACCTTCACAAACACATGAGGAGCTGCTAGAGGAACACTTCTGAAATCCCGACAGACTTAGTAAGCATCCAGAAGAAGCTCTGGTACCCAGCAAATATTACCCAATACTTAATAATAATGTCTGCAAAGAGGGGAATCACTACTGTTCTGAGTGTGGAAAGAGCTTTACTATCCGATATAGTCTCCAAAGACACCAGCACATTCACACAGGAGAGAAATCGTTCCAGTGTTTAGAATGTGGGAAATGCTTCAATAGACAGGGTCGTCTCCAAATTCAGAGACACGTTCATACAGGAGTGAAACCATACCAGTGCTCAGAGTGTGGGATGAGTTTTAATCACAAGAATCATCTAAAATCACATCAGCGCATTGACACAGGAGAGAAGCCGTATTACTGTTCAGAATGGGGCAAGACTTTCACTGTGCTTCACAGTCTACAAAAACACCAGCGTACTCACACAGGAAAGAGAGCTGAACAGGGCTAGAGAGGGTCAGACATCTATAATGTACTTCAACCTCTTTAAACCCCACACAAGCCGATAAACCAGCAAGGCCAGAAGTGCTAGCAGGTTCTCTTCCTGCTAGATGAGGATTGTGAATGAATCTGTCAGCACAGTTTGCTGTTGTGTTTGTTATGAAAGCATTCTTAGATTATGTTTTAGATAGATTTCATTGCTTTACAATATTCCCCTAGGCATTCAGTCCAAAATGGCAGCAGCACTACTGCAGCACCATGGCAGTTGTCAGAAAAGCAAAAAAAAGTATGGACATGTGGATTAAATTGAGTCACAATTAAAAATTATAAACCACCTCTGTCTGTGTCTTTGCTTCCCATCAGGGAGTTAGATAATGTTTTGCTTAAGGCTAGTATGTATCTTGAAGATTGTGTGGATTCTGTTTGTTGTTTGGGCCAAACCTGAAGACAGTGTATGGTACAGTTGTGTAATACACTGTGAATTTGCTATTAAGAACCGTTTTCTGTGTTTGGTCTCATTATTATACACTACACACACAATCACTAAGCATACATTTCTCACCACACCATTCTTTTACAGCCTTACCCTAGACAGGGTCATACCGGAACATTACACAGTGATGCCAAAAAAATAGATAGTCTGGTTTGAGCATTTTTAGAACTGCAGATCTCTTGGGATTTTCACTTGCTGCAGTCTGTAGTGTTTAAAAACACTCAGTGAGCAGCAGTTCTGCAAACAGGAATGCTGTATTTCAACTGAGAATGGCTATAGTAAATTAGACAACCATTCTGTATAGATATAATGAACAGAAGAGCACATCAGAATGCCTGTTTAACCTTAAGGAGGATGGGCTACAAAAATAGCCCATCTGCTGCTAACCTGGTCTGATGAATCTTGATTTTTGCTGAGGCACAGAAACAGATGGTAAGATCAGAACTTTGTGTAAACAGTCCAGGCTGGTGAAGGTGGTGTAATGGTGTGACGAATGTTTCCTTGCCACAATGGGGGCCTGTTAATATCAATCTGTCATTGCTTAATTGCCACAGCCTGTGTGAGTACTGTTGCTGACCATGTGCATCCTATCATGGCCATTTGTTACCCAACTTCTAATGGCTGGTTTCATGAACATGACAATGAGTTCAGTGTTCTTCAGTGGCCTTCCCAGTCACCAGAAATGAATTCAATAGAACACATCTGGGATGTGGATGCATTTCAGCTTGACCAACTCTCAATGTAACATTTATATTCCTATAATGGTGCTATATTACAGTCGGTAAGAGGGTGATTAAATAATGCTGCACTTTCCCCACCCAGCCAGCAAATTTGAATATTTCATGTAATGAATACTATAAAACTTTTTTGATGGTCCAAAAAAGCAATTTTTTCCAAAAATGCGACGTTGGGACACTGTGCAAAATGTAAATAAAAACAAAATTCAATGATGTGCAAATCATTTAAACTCTGTTTCATTGAAAATGGTACAAGGACAATAAATGTTGAAGCTGAGAATTTTATTTATTTATTTTTTTAATATATGCCCATTTTAAATTTGACGCCAACAATGCGTTCTAAAAAAGTTGGGACAGGGTCATGTTTACCACTGTTTCATCACCCCTTCTTTCAACAATGCTATGTAAGCATTTGGAAACTGAGGAGACTGACTGCTGTAGTTTTCAAAGTAAAATGTTTTTCCATTTTTACTTAACATGGGATTTGAGCTGCTCAACAGTTTGGGGTCTACTTTTTAGTATTTTTCATTTTATAATGTGCCAAATGTTTTCAGTGGTGACAGGTCTGGACTGCAGACAGGTCAGTTTAGCACATGGGCTTTAGCCCAGAGGACACAGTGTCCATGATTTCCAAAAAGAATTTCAGATTTAGATTTTCGGACCACAGGACACTCTTCCACTACCCCTCAGTCCATTTTACATGACCTCAGGCCCAGAGAAGGTGGCAGCATTTCTGGATCCTCTTTATGTACAGTTTCTTCTTTGCATTTAAGAGTTTTAACTTGCATTTGTGGATGCAGCGCCAAACTGTTTTCTCAGAAGTGTTTCTGAGCCCATGCAGTGATTTCCACTACAGAATCATGTCTGTTTTTAATGCGGTGCCATCTGAGGGCCCAAAGATCACAGTCAGCAAATACTGGTTTTTGGCCGTTGCATTAAGATATATATCCCTTGCATTAAGAGATTTCTCCAGATTTTCTGAATCTTTTAATGATATTATGTACCATAGATGATGAAAAGCACAAAAAAATTTTTGCACTATTTGCTCGTGCAGTCTTTCACAGAGTGGTGAACACCTTAAGCATTACACAACTTTACAGCAATAAAATTTCTCAGTTTCAACATTTGATATGTTGTATTTGTACTGTTTCCAATTAAATATAAGATTTAAACAATTTGCACATCATTACATTTTGTTTTTATTTACATTGTTCACCGCGTCCCAGCATTTTTGAAAATGGGGTTGTAGAAGGAAAGTCAAGAAGAAAAAACATAAAAGGCACTAATATTCATAAGAGCTGATTATTTTGTGATTTGGAAGATCCATCCTCTCCACTATACTGCTTTCCACTATCTATACTAAAGAATGAAAATAACCTTAACCTTTTCTGTTGATCTGATCTGTCCCCGTCTACCCATGTCCAGATTTCTTTCCTGTGTGAATACACTGGTGGTTTTCTGCAGTAGAACTCATTCGGGGTACTGGTGAGTTGGTAGTCGTTGAGGAGAGGGTCAGTCTTTCTCACCCTGTAGTTGGTAAATCACTTGAAGGCCCCAGACCAAAGTTGGGTCGCTCTCTAGCCTATATTTTACCTACTTGTACAGACTCCTACCCTTCGAGGTCATCCAAAAACCATGCGTTATTGTTGCTGTATTTCACCCGTGCTGTAGATGAAATGCAGCTTTTCTCACAGAAACTGATGTACGATGTATGTACAGTATCTGGGTTTTCATCTAGACTGTCTGTTTTTCTTCAAAAAGAAATTAATTCAAATCAGCCCTTTAGCTTTTCAGTGTCTCCACTGGTCTAGCTCTTCACTGTTGTGATGACAGGCTTGTTGGTTTGGAGGTCCTGCCTGTATGTTGAGATGAGGTGAGCAAGACTGTAGTTGGAATGACTGACAACTGCATTCATGATTTTCAATAGTGGTGTAATAATGATCCAAAATATCCCCTTCTTTTGTGGCACACCTAACATGTTGTCTGTACTTGGGCACTTAGTTAGATTTGTGCTTTCAAAGTCTCCCTTAATGGTGAGCAGTGAGTCCAGATTCCCTCTTCCTGCTTGCATTATCTGTTTAGTCAGCAGTTTCTGTTTGTTGCTTGTGCACGTCCAGCAGAATGTAAACAGTGACCAAAATGCAAGAAAAAAACTCTCTGGGAGAGCAGAACGGTTTACAGTTAAAGAAAGGTTACTCTAGATTAGGAGAGAGTCAGATTGGAAAGACTGAAGGTTTTTGAATAAACTCTGGACTAATATTAGGTGAATTGTTGCCCCTGAAAGTCATTAACTGTTCCCTGCACCAACTGACTGAGTTTGACATACAATAGATGATGTTAACAAACAAAATCAAACACATAATGTACAAGCATCTCTCCCTTAACTGTTATGAATTATTGTGCAATGTTTTAAAACAGTGTAACTTGAACATTCTATAAACTTTTCACTCTTATTTTGCCCCAGTCTCTACTTTTTTTAAAGGGGGGCATCAGATTCAAAATTTGTTCTAGAACAGTGTATTGTTGAATCAAAGTGGGTTGAATGAACATGAAGAACCAAGAGTGCCAGAGTTCTCTGTGGGGGAAGAAAGAATGTTCTTAGAATGTTGGTTGCTTAGCTATTATTTTTAGAGACTCAATGATACTTCATACACAGTCAAATAATGAAATAGAGGTGTTTTCCTGTGTCACATGTTCTCATGTATTCTGTTCCTGCAACAGTGATGTGAACCACTTTTCATCTATTAGCCAATCCTAGCACAGGAGGTGGTGTTTTTCAGAATATGGGTGGGGTATAAATAACACCCTCAAGAGCTGCTGTGATCATGTGGTTGTACTTGCTCTGATCAGCAGTCCAGACCAATGTTGTTGGGCAGATACAGGAGCTGCACTTTTTTTTGGTTAACATTGTGCTTTTTAATTGACCTTCTTGGAGAGATGTTCACTCTTTGAAAGTAGGATTTAAAAATATCACTCAACACTGAAGGAGCTTTTGTCCAAACTGGTACTGTTTGCTCTTGTGATTTGATTTTAATTGATATTTTTGTTGAATTTGAAGGTTTTGTTGATTCCTTATTTAAGATTCACACTATATATCCAGAAAGCATGTAGTAGTGTATTAATTGTGGTTAGTAATGTTATTTATGGAGATTAATAATGCTGTTTTCATTTTAAGCAAACTTTGCTAAGTTGGTCCCAAAGGCAGAGGTGTATCCTGTGTGTTTCTTCTGTTCTTTTGTGTGTTAGTGAGAATGAGGATGTTACAGTGTAAGAAAAATGACTTGCATTAATTTCTGTACATGTCAAACAGATCTTACACACCGTTATGTAGAGATATCAAGCTATATCGCATGTGCAGCTAGAAACAATGCGAGAGTATGAACAGAGACACAGATATAATCCAATGTGGATATAAAATGTGCAGCATGTGGAAAAATAAGAGCTGATTTTAGAGAAAGATAAAGTATCTTATGAAAGGTGGTAATTGTCTATGGTGGGTGAGTTGGGGGCTTTTAAGAGGGTGAGAAAAGAACCTTTTCAGCAGCTTGATGGCTGGTGGTAGAAAAAGTCCTGAAGTCATTGATCTCATAGCATGAGTGTGAACAGACTGTGATGGGGGTAGATATGATAGGTGATAGGAGGGCAGTGGTCTGTTGTGTACGGATGTTAATGAAAACACTGGTTACTTAGTTCTACTGCAAAAGTTTTGATCCAGTAAGATTTGCATTTGTGTTCATCTATTTCTGATTACAACCTTCTACATATCAGAATTAGAATCAC